TGAACATGATTATTTGAAGGTTGGTGTTTTTTGTATTAAAAACACTTATCTTTCATTGGTGGGATGAAATATGCTAATTTTTTGGGACAGGCATTTTGGGTTTTCATGAGCTGTATGCCATAATCATCAGTATTAAAACAATTAAAGACCTGAAATATTTCAGTTGGTGTGCAATGAATCTGAAATATATGAAAGTTTCATTTTTATCATTACATTATGGAAAATAATGACCTTTATCACAATATGCTAATTTTTTGAGAGGGACCTGTACATCTTTGCCTGAACAAGGACAGAAACTGTTTTGGTGCCTACCACGCTGTGAAGTAAATGGCTGTAAAAAGTTGTACTGTATGTAAAAAAAAACTAACAGAAACATTGCCTGAAGTGTTCAATACTTTCTACATGTTGTGGGCAAAAATTGTTTTTGTATTTACAACTCACATTGTAGTGAGCAAAAATTCTAGGAAAAGCCTGCCGTATCAAATGTGATACAAAAATGATATCATAAACAAAATGATATAGCAATATTTTTTTTGGACCATGTTTCAAAGCTTAATAAACATCTAAATTCTAAAAAAAATTAATTTTCTGACTATTTTTTGATGGGTCAGGCTTTAAAGGGCTAAAATATATTATGATCTTAACAAAGAATAATGAGTGTGACAGGAAACTGGATTGGAACAACATAATGAGCTAACGGGCTAACTTTAAATTAGCTGTTCAGCTAATAGTTTAATCATTCTTCGTGAAGACAGAGTATCACATTTATCAGAATCAGAATAAGCTTTGCACCGAGATACAACGAGAACATGTACATACAGTCGTCCGGAAGATGGACTGAGTGCAGGAAGCTGCTGCTCTAAGCGTGGCCTCTTATCCTTTTTCAGAATAATAATCTTAGATAGGAAAAGGGGTAGAAACATGAGGGTAGATAGTGGTATTACCAAAAAAAGATCTTTCACATCTTGTCTATCAGGACACAATTTGAGGCATCAAAAAACTCTACCAGCAAGCACAATTAAAACATGATTACATTTGTATTTGACGTCAAAGTGTTGAGATTTGTCCATGAACGTTTTTTCAGATCAGCCACAGTTTCTGAAGATGTTGTTTCAGCCAGCAGTTCTGGCGGGGGGAATAGATGAAGCTTTTGTCCTTGGTTACCCATGACCCAGGAGAAATTTGATAGTCGGCCCATCTCCGAGGCCGGCAGGGAGTCAGATTCAGATAAGCTTTGATTGTTGATTTTCTTCAGGCAGACATATTACTTTTTTCTTTAGCCTTGACTCCAGCTGGGCATTCTAGTTCCAAAATAGCCTAATTGTGGGATTCCATTCCACTGATCCATGCTATGAGTCTCCCTCAAGGTCGAACCCACCACGCTGACGAGCCCCAGGTATTATGGATACCTGATCCATAATATTCTTAATTTACGTTCGAGAGATGTGAACCAGGCACTTCAGACACAGAGAGCAGAGCAGGAGGAAGAAAAACCGGGGGAGGAAAGGCAAAAGCAGCCAACTCGAGCGAGAGCCATGGAGGAAAAAAAATTAGTTTCTAGTTTCATCTTTCTCTTGTCCTTTTGCAGCTTCATCATGGTGCAGACAGTAGCAGTGATCGGGGCGGGTCCCTCAGGTCTGACCAGTATTAAAGCTTGTCTGGATGAAGGCTTGGAGCCAACCTGCTTTGAAAGCAGTGATGACATGGGTGGACTGTGGAAATTCAAGGCATGACTTTTTGTGGGAAACTTATTGATCACAATTCCTTCTTTTGAAGAGCTGAATAAGATGTCAGGATTTCCCCATAATTTCTTAACATCGACTGTTTAACATCTCTTCTTTGCAGGAAGTCTCAGAGCCAAACAGGGCCAGCATCTACCGCTCCCTAACTATCAATATCTGGAAGGAGATGATGTGCTACAGTGACTTCCCCATCCCACCTGATTACCCCAACATTTTACATCACTCTAAAATCCTAAAATACTTAAAGATGTATGCAGAGCACTTCAATCTAATCTCTAACATTCGCTTCAAGGTAATAAAAGAGCATGATGAAAATGATTAGGCTGCAGTCTTAATGCATTGTTTCACTTGTAATTGATGGAGATGTGAAAGGTCACAGATGTTTTTCACTTACTGAAGTCAAATGTTATAACTCATATTACCATGTGTGTATATTAAAGAGTTTGTTCTTGTCTGGATCAGAGTGCTGCAGAGAAAACTCAAGCCTAAGCAAGAGGCTGCAGGAGTCGTCTGACCTTGCCTTTGTCTGATAACATATATAAAAAGACACTCTTTTAGGCTATCAGTGAGCAGACTTGGGACAGAGCGTCATGTAACATCTTGATGCTTGTATTTCAACACTGCTCCAACTTGCAAGATTAAACCTGGGAGAAGAAAATTATCTACCTCTCCTGTGTGGCATATTTATTTAATGAGCTATTAAAAGGATAATATTAAATTATCCTAACAGTATTTTTTTTACTTTAGACCTCAGTTAAGAGAGTAACTCAGAGACCAGACTTTTCTCGCACTGGCCAGTGGGAGGTGGTCACAGAGGACAGAGATGGTCTAGAGGAGAGGCATGTCTTTGATGCAGTTATCTGCTGCTCTGGCCACTTCAACTATCCAAACCTGCCACTCAAAGACTTCCCAGGTATAAATGCATGATAACCTTAAATATTGCAAGGTGCATGACTTCCTTGTTAAATTATTTTTGGCTGAACAATTTCAAAGTGCATTTTCATGCATTAATATATAATTCAATGTATGGCAGGATTTGAGACGTTTGAAGGAACGTACTTTCATAGTAGAGACTACAAGGGACCCGAGGACATGTGCGGAAAGAGGGTGGTGGTCATCGGCATCGGTAACTCAGGAGGGGATATTGCTGTGGAGGGCAGCAGAGTTGCAGAGCAGGTCATAAAATATTATTTGTCTTCCTTGTAATGTTTTATTTCTTTTATCTTCTGTGATGTACTGTGCTGACAATGTAGGATGTCTCTGTGTGTTGTTGCTTCTCCTGTCCAGGTGTATCTGAGCACTCGCAGTGGTGCCTGGGTCATCCGTCAGGTTTCGGACTATGGCCTGCCAGTGGACATGTTCAACTCACGCTTTGTTCGTGTCAAGTCCAAGCTGTTGCCTATGAATTTGCTCAACTGGCTGGGTGAAAAAAAACTCAATGCCATTTATGATCATGCCATGTATGGGCTCAAACCCAAACACAGGTATGAAATTCTTATTTGAGAACTTTTCTTGTTCCTTCTTTATGTTTCATATTTAATATTAATGACATGATCTGTCCCTGTGTCTGTTTTCTTTTATTTATGTTTCTTTTCCTTTTCTGCTTATTGTGTTTCTCATTCTGCTCCTTGTTGTGTCATTCTGTTCCTGTTGTTTTTCACTCTGTTTTCTGTCAGTTCTCTTTTTCTTCTTCTTCTGTTTTTTTTATTGGCGGTTGGCAAACAACTTATGGTGTGCATTACCGCCACCGACTGGTATGGAGTGTGGTTCAGAATGCTTTTTAAAAAAAAATAAAAAATTCTATTTACTTGTGTATGTGTTGTCTGTCCTAATCGTATCCTATTGATAAGCTTTGTTTTAATGAAGAACCTTGTCAAAATTTTTGATAATTGCTATTCCTATTTTCCCTGTTGTGTCTTTTGATGCGTCTGTGTAAATCTGAACATAACCATAATAATTATTTATATATTTCTGTACTGTATATGAGTTAAAAGTGATTTTTTTTATCTTTTTTCTTTTCCATAAGTGTAAAATCTACTTTTGCAGTTGGTAGTATCCATGGTGGTATTGTTGGTAGCGGTATTATTGGACTTATTGTTAGGTTTCTTATTTGAACTTCTTGTATCTTCTGATCAATTATCCAACCAAAGCTTCCTGTTTCTGTCTTTGCTTTTTCCCAGCATGGTTTTAAAATGTCTAATGTTGGATGATCCGGGTTATTTCCTTTTAAGTTGATCCAGTAATGTATTGCTAGCTGTGTTCTTCTCAATTCTAAAGGCATCTCTCCCATCTCTACTTTAAGTGCTGCGGTTGGGGTGGTCCTGAATGCTCCTGTACAGATTCTTAGTGCTTGATGTTGTACAGGTCCTTCTAAAAAAATTTGCATATTGTGATAAAGGTCATTATTTTCCATAATGTAATGATAAAAATGAAACTTTCATATATTTCAGATTCATTGCACACAAACTGAAATATTTCAGGTCTTTAATTGTTTTAATACTGATGATTATGACATACAGCTCATGAAAACCCAAAATGCCTGTCCCAAAAAATTAGCATATTTCATCCCACCAATGAAAGACAAGTGTTTTTAATACAAAAAACGCCAACCTTCAAATAATCATGTTCAGTTATGCACTCAATACTTGGTCGGGAATCCTTTTGCATGAATGACTGCTTCAATGCAGCATGGCATGGAGGCAATCAGCCTGTGGCACTGCTGAGGCGTTATGGAGGCCCAGGATGCTTCGATAGCGGCCTTAAGCTCATCCAGAGTGTTGGGTCTTGCGTCTCTCAACTTTCTATTCACAATATCCCACAGGTTCTCTATGGGGTTCAGGTCAGGAGAGTTGGCAGGCCTATTGAGCACAGTAATACCATGGTCAGTAAACCATTCACCAGTGGTTTTGGCACTGTGAGCAGGTGCCAGGTTGTGCTGAAAAATGAAATCTTCATCTCCATAAAGCTTTTCAGCAGATGGAAGCATGAAGTGCTCCAAAATCTCCTGATAGCTAGCTGCATTGACCCTGCCCTTGATAAAACACAGTGGACCAACACCAGCAGCTGACATGGCACCCCAGACCATCACCGACTGTGGGTGCTTCACACTGGACTTCTGGCATTTTGGCATTTCCTTCTCCCCAGTCTTCCTCCAGACTCTGGCACCTTGATTTCCGAATGACATGCAAAATTTGCTTTCATCCGAAAAAAGTACTTTGGACCACTGAGCAACAGTCCAGTGCTGCTTCTCTGTAGCCCAGGTCAGGCGCTTCTGCCGCTGTTTCTGGTTCAAAAGTGGCTTGACCTGGGGAATGCGGCACCTGTAGCCCATTTCCTGCACACGCCTGTGCACGGTGGCTCTGGATGTTTCTACTCCAGACTCAGTCCACTGCTTCCGCAGGTCCCCCAAGGTCTGGAATCGGCCCTTCTCCACAATCCTCCTCAGGGTCCGGTCACCTCTTCTCGTTGTGCAGCGTTTTCTGCCACACTTTTCTCTTCCCACAGACTTCCCACTGAGGTGCCTTGATACAGCACTCTGGGAACAGCCTATTCGTTCAGCAATTTCTTTCTGTGTCTTACCCTCTTGCTTGAGGGTGTCAATGATGGCCTTCTGGACAGCAGTCAGGTCGGCAGTCTTACCCATGATTGTGGTTTTGAGTAATGAACAAGGCTGGAAGTTTTTAAAAGCCTCAGGAATCTTTTGCAGGTGTTTAGAGTTACGTCGTTGATTCAGATGGTTAGGTTAATAGCTTGTTTAGAGAACCTTTTCATGATATGCTAATTTTTTGGGACAGGCATTTTGGGTTTTCATGAGCTGTATGCCATAATCATCAGTATTAAAACAATTAAAGACCTGAAATATTTCAGTTGGTGTGCAGTGAATCTGAAATATATGAAAGTTTCATTTTTATCATTACATTATGGAAAATAATGACCTTTATCACAATATGCTAATTTTTTAGAAGGACCTGTACAATAGGTTGTTAAGGTGAGTTTTGATCATGTTGAAAAGAAATACGTCACGGAAATTTATGTAGCAAATATGATACAAATTTAATGGTTAACCCATCTGTGATTGGCACCTGCTCAGACATCAAATTAACCTAGAATGCTTAAAAACAAGTGTAACAAAATTGCAGGAGAAACAAAAAATATACAAGTCTGGACTCAAACCCATTCGTCAAGTTTTTGCAATTTTTGTGCTAAAGAGCAAAGTATCCTGGTGGGTTCAGCGGCATATATTTTTGCTTGTAGTGTCACATTTGGGTCTGATAAGTCTGCAAGTAAACTGATTGCTTTGTTGGACCAAGTTTCATTTTAAGGAAAATTGGATTCTGTGGAAACATCATAAATAATTTACTTATCTGTTGTAGGTAGGAGTGCCTTCTGTTTTAAGGAACATTTTAATTATGATCTGATTGACATTGTAGGAACTTGTCTGAGCAGGGATAAGACCAAAGTGAATTGCTGCAATTTCAATACAATAACAATATTTAAAAAAATATTTACACTGTAACCAGTTTCACATCATATGGTAATTTCTGTTTAATCTGTGTTTTGTTTTTTGGAAGTAGAGGCAACAGTAGATTGTTCTACCACTTCCATTGCAGTCTGGGATCATTATAAGTAGGAATTTCTACCAAAATAACAAGGTGTAGGGCAAATTATTTGGTAATGTAAAGGCTGAAATATAACTGCTTTCTTGAACTGCTATAAAATTTAGAAGATTGGAGTTGCTTTCATACAACATCAATCTGCCTGTGGACATTAGACTTCTCTGGTCATACTGAAAAACTAATGATGGTTTGTCTGAAGGGACCCTCTTCATGTAAAATTGCCTTTTTTAAATAGCCACTCCTGAATTTTATAGCACTTGATGAAAATACAATTTTATAAAACTTCTACATCAACAGTTTTTCATCACAGTCATTATGGCAGAACTACTATTAAATTCAGTTGGCCTGGGAACACCTTGGGCTCCCCCCAGAAGTGCTAGAAGAGGTGGCTGTGGAATGAGATGTCTGGACCTCCCTTCTCATCCTGCTGCCTCCGCGACCCAATTTTGGAACAAGCAGAAGACAAAGGATGGATTGATGGATGGATGGACTTTTAAATTCTTGTTGACAATGATTCCAGGATACAGAGAATATTTTACAGCTACCTGCTGCTGCTCTTATTAATGACTGCAAAACCCCACAAAATCTATATGTAAATATCAGTTGTAACCCACCTATACCCATCTGAGGTAAGTGCCACAGAGTTCATTAAAACTCTTACACTTTGTGTTTTGACTTGAGTTTCACTCACCTCAGAGTAAAAGTACACTGGTGTTTAAATGTTCTCTACACTCAATATGACTGTATACATTTCAACTTATTGTGAATACAATGTAATGCAAAAGACATGCTGTGTTCTAACAAAACTGAATTATGCCTATTTCTTATTGAAAATATTAGCTTAGAAATAACCAACAGCACAGATTTAAAGTTTAGAACTTTATTTACTTATATTTAATTTAAATAAACAAAAAACATCCACAGTAATTCCAAAATATTTCACTCTGTAATAAAGTCTCACAGTTTCAGATTATCAAACAGTTTACACAAAATCAAGTGGGCCCACACACTCTAACATACACCTAAGGCAGCATATAATTAAATTAAATTTGTTCAAACAAAATAAAAACCTGTTGCAGGCCTGATGTGATGCTGAAGAGTGTAGGATATGTGGTACCTTACTCCAAAGTCTTGGTCCTCTGGAACTTCACTTGTCTGTCAATCCAAGTTGAAGAAAAAATATGTACGGAATGTTCTCAGCTCCTTTACCCCTCGCTCGGTCCACCAGAAACAGCCGGTCAGCGAAATGTGTCAAAGCGTGTTTATTTATTCTAAGAAGAAAAAATAAAACAAGGAAATTCTAGCTATACTTTAGATTTATTTGATATTAGAGAATTTTAAATTCATGTATACACCAGATCTTTGTTCAGAAAACCCACAGTTCATAAGTGAGAAACTTCCCAGAAAAGGTGGCTAGCTTAAGTTTACACAAATATTTATTTGAAAATGAGCAATTATCTGATTGGTCTAAATGTTGGAAAGTGCAGTTTTAACCCCGCCCTTTCTTTGTGGGTGCTCAGACTTGGGCCAAGTCTCTTGGCACATACTGTACGTTCATCAGGAGAGGGGAGTGCCTGTAAGGGCAAAAACACCTGCTCCTACTTTGTATGGTTGCAGGAAGCGTAGGAAGCTGCATCTTTTCTCACAGTAGCCTTGAGACAGAGTCTGTTAATTAAATTGATGTCATGATTGTAGCTTAAAAGAAAAATAGTATGTAAAACTTTGACTACTGTGCATGGGTGTGACTGGAACATTGGGTTCTCTGCTCCTTACTAGACAAAGAACTGTGTATGTGTTAGTTTCTTTTACTGAAGCAGCTGCAGACTAACTGATAAAACAACTAACAATACATTTCAATTTGAGTAAAAAATTTAACATCCTAACACT